ATCTCGAGGCGGGCTCAAGGTACGAATGACGGGGAGGTTCGCTCTGCCGCCAAGCTCTGTTCGAAAGGTGTCTGAAAAATGCAGGATTCTGGCAGTTGTTGATATTTTTATTATTGTTGATGTTATTGATGTTGTTTCGCGATTACCGTACGAGACGGAGAGATGACCCCCCCCCCCCATCACGCTCACCATTAAAACTTGATTGCTCGACAACCAAGAGGGTGCGGAAAGACCTCGATACGTCTGTGAAAAGCTCTCGACGATGCCATGTTTGGTGTTGACGCAGGCTTGGTTGTGGAGCAATCGAGCTTTGAAATTGGTCTTGGGAGGGGTGCAGTTACCAGCGAATGATTATACTCACTCAATTTGCATTTGGGAAAAACACGGCAAAGGAAACGCTGGAAAAATATAGAAAGGCCGCTTCGAGGGGAACGAGAGTGGAGGTCGCCGCCTTAACCCCAACGTCGGGACAACATGATTGATCGTACAATAATTCTCTAAAAAAAACATGCAATGAAGTTTACCTTAAAACCATACCGCGGGATAGGCGGCGGCACCGGCTAAGAAAGAATATGAACGACGAGGCGTCATCTCGCTACACCATTTAGAGCCAGATGCCGTGTTCGGACCAAGTGGGGAAAACACCGCCGGGGTACGGAGGTCGACGCATTTTTCATCAGACTTCGCAGACACGAAGGGAAAAATCGGGACGCCGGAGGCAGGCGGAATCAGTCGAAAATATGAGAGCGTTGATCGGTGTTTACAGCAAGTAATGTTCGATATATGGTTACATGAGACGAAAGGAAGGGAGGGAAGTATCCGACGGGAGGGAAGTATCCCACCTTGCTGAAGGTATTGTCACTGATGACTTTCAACCCGAACTCCTCTCTCTCTCGCGCGCGCGAATTGCCCCTCCCTTCGTCCAATTGAGAAAAACGTACAACACAGGGTGTAGGATACGAAGTACTCGTTTTTTTGTAGATTTGACTTGACAAACACATACGCTATCGTTGAGACAGGTTTTGAGCCCTGCCCAAACCCCTTCATGTGCCAGCAGGCCGGCACGCTCGTTCCGTCTAGCTTTGCGTCGTGGGACTCAGGTGGGTGGCTTACAGGGAAGATCCCGTCCACCCCGGCGGGCTCGCGATCAGATACATGCATGCCCAAATCCATTGCCCACCGGTCGACGACGCAGGACCAGGGGGCGACAGAGGCACAAAAGAAAACTTAGGACAGTGAAGTAAAAGCTGCTCACCATGTCCGGCCATGATGGGCGTGGTATCCTCTCTGCGCCTACGCGGGCACAAGCAGCAAGCGAAGGGCGGGGGGAAGGGGGGCACCATGGGGTAGAGTGTGGGGGTCATCTGGGATCATTGGTGAACTTCACCACCGACCTGGGGTAGAGTGGGGGGGTCATCTGGGATCATTGGTGAACTTCACCACCGACCTGCAGCTGATGATAGCGCGGGAGAGACACGCGGCAGTTTCTTCTTTCATCACACCCGGTGTGAAACGAGGCTAACGTCACAACCCCGTTAACATAACATGCAACGTGAGTGAACAGGAACCACTTCTCCTACTCTCAGAGCCTTTTCAGCTCTGGTACAATGTCCCACGCGAAAACAGTGATTGGGGAGGGGAAACAAACGGAAACAGGAGATACAACATTGTCTAGCGAGCGAGCGGGGGAAAGCCGATTTTCAGGGTAGCAGCAGCGGACGGACCGACATCGCAACTTCAGGAGGAACTTTTGTTTTTTACTGCTGATCTTTAAGACAAGCCGGTCTACAAGACGGACGCCCGCGTGCGAGAGGATCGACTTGCAGAGAGCTCTGGCCAAGTCGTGCTCGTACTGACTGTATTACCTACACTGAGAGGAGAGATACCGCGCGGAAACGGTACGCAGGAAAAAATGATGTTGGAACCTTAGGAAACACCGAATACCCGCTGTGTGCTGCTGTAGAACAATCATGCATTTTTTTCGTAAGGAGCAGAGGTGCTACATTGCGACTGTCCGCAACACCTCGGCTATCTCTGTCGGTTCGGCTCCACAGAAGAAATGCCAAAGAGGAAGGAGGAGGGTGATTCCGCAGCAGAAAGGGCTGTCGGTGTGGGCACACGGTGTGTCACCAACGTGGAGACAGCTTCGCTCTGTAGCAAATAATGGACGTCCACCCGAACATCTGACCGACGCAAAAGAGAGGAGGTCGCCGTGTTAACGGACGATGAAACGGAAACATGTGCCGGCGTCCACAGCCTCAGAGACTAAACGCTGCGTCGAGGATAGACTTACAAGAAGGACCTGGGTGGGTTTCACCGTTCTGTGTTATCACATAACTTGAAGAATGCATCCCGGGCCGAACAGAACAACAACAACAGCAGTCATGCATAGAGTAAACCGGCCAATTAACGAACGCTTAAGCCACCCCTCGCGCCAACAGCTCGTTCTCGGGCATGAAGAGGAGTATGATGTATTTGTGGGTACCGGACGATAGCTTGTATTATAGGCTACCTCCCTAAAAAAAAAAAAA